CTTGAACTTCTGCTAAAAAGCTACAAAATATATATTATTTATATTTTTTTAATGCTTTTTTGTACTTTTGTTTCGTGTTTGGAGTGCAGCGCGCAGCAGATGCACATATCTGCATCGCGGCGTAAATCTGCACAGTACCGCTGCAGCAGCAGCAGCTTTTCCCGCAGCAGCAGCTTTCACTGTGAGAGAACAATAACAATTACAACAATACGATGGTTGAGGGTTTGAAACAGATGAGGAGCTTGCGGTTGCTGCTGCTGCTGCTGCTGCTACAGAAGCGGCGGCTGAGGGGGCGAAGCGGCGAAAAGAAAACAGATTTGTTTGCTTCTCCGCAAAGAGCAGCAGCAGCAGCAGCTGCAGCAGCAGCAGCAGGAGATCCCTTCAGAGCTCGCAGGGCAGCAGCGGCCGCTGCAGCAGCTGCTGGCAGCGGCTGTCTTTGGGCCGCTGCTGCTGCGGTGGCGAAATACAGGGGCCCCCCGCTAGGCACTGCAGCAGCGGCAGGGGGGCCCCCTTGGGGGCCCCCCTGGGGGCCCCCTTGGGGGCCCCTCTTTCTTCTCTGCGGACTTCAGCCTGGAGACTTTTGAATTGTTCCAAAGTGTGAGTTTGCAAATAAACAGCTTTTTGTCTTTTATAATTTCTTTTTATGGACTTTAAGTACCTCCTGGTGAGAGCTGCACGTCGTGGCGCCCCCCCAGGGCCTTCTGCGCTGCTGCTGCTGCTCTGCTGCTGCTGCTGCTGCCCCGCACCGCCCCCGCTGCTGCTGCTGCTGCTGCTGCTGCCGGCGCAGCGGCAGGCAGCAGCAGCAGCTACAGCAGCTACAGCTGCGGCTGCAGCAGCAGGGGGCTCGCCGGCCTTGGGTGTTGCTTCATGTCCAGCGAAAACCCTAGACTTGAGAGGTTTTGCTTCGCAAGGGAGAGCTGCTGCTGCTGCTGCTGCTGCTGCAGGCTCCGTGGCACTCAGCCTCATAGTGGTGGGAGTTGGCGCGGCGGCGCCCGCGGCCGCAGGAAGCAGCAGGGGAAGCAGCAGCAAAAAGGGCCGGAGAAGAACTCGAAAAGAAGAATTAAATGAATAAATAAAAGAGTTTGAAAAGGAAATCTGGAAATTGAAGAGTGTGAACTGTGCTGAGCAGCAGCAGCGCAGCGAACAACCCCGTGCCAGTGGACCACCGTGCCACCCACCGTCTGCAGCGCGAAACTCGTCTTTTTCGACAAAATTAAAAGCTGTGCAAAACAAAAAGTCTATTTTAAACAAAGATCGCCATTCATTCCGCGAAAAGAGGCCAAGTAGCGGCTGTTTTCGCGTTTTTGCAACTTGAACGGCAGCCGCGACACCCCAGTTCAAGAACTGCCGCTGCGCCCCCCGCTCCCGCGTGTCTTGCCTTTCTTCACTTTATTTTCGCCAAAGTTTCGCAATAATTTGCAATTAAAGACTTAGTGAGTCGCTGGGGGGAAAAGGGAGGCCCCTGGGAAGTGAGTGCTGCAGCGCAGCAGCAGCCAGTTCTGCTGCCGTCTCGAGTGGTCACGGCGCTGCTGCTCGCAGCAAATGCCGCGGCAACTGACGCAAATGCGGCATTTAATTAAAAAAAACCATTTTTAATTGAAAATAAATAAAGAAATCAAAAGGGAGGCCGGCAAAGGCCTGCCTTCGTCGCATTTCACCTTCAGAACTGGATCTTGTAACGCAGCAACAACTGCCTTGCTGCACTTTGGCTAGCTCCCCCCAGGCCCTGCAAGTGACCAGTGGTCCACACCACTGGTCCACTGCAGCAGCAAGTCCACCGCTGCGGCCACAGGCGCCCCTGGGCTTCCTGGGGGCCAGTGGGCAGCTCCAGGCTCTAGGCTAGCAGCAGCAGCTGCAGCAACTGGCGAAGCAGCTGCTGCTCTAGAGCGCAGCAGCACAGCAGCAGCAGCTCCCCAGAAGCAGCAGCAGCAGCAGAAGCAGCAAAAAGGCTCCGGTTCCTTCCACCTTTGCTGCCGCTGACTGCTGCTGCTATGCAGAAGGGGGCGCAGCGCTCTGCATGCAAGAGGGGTTGTGAAGAAGCAGCAGCAGCAGCAAAACTCTTTAAACGCCAAACTGCAGCACCGGCCTTGTGTTGCAGCAGCTGCAGCTCTTGGCTTTTGCTGCCTCGGGTTCTTTTCTCTTCAGCAGCTTCGGTCTTCTCCTTAAAATGCACTTCACCATAAATGCATTTAAAGCGTCTAGAAAGAATCAGAAGCAAAAAGCAAAGAAGAAAAGCTTGTGCTGCAGCTCTTGCATGCAGCAGCAGCTCTTGCCTTGAACTGCAGCAGCAAAGAGGCTCAGCTCAGTCTTCTGCTGCAGCAGAAGACTGGGACTTTTTGCTGCTGCTCGGGGCCTCTTTTAATTTTGCTGCTCTTTGAATTACTTTAAATGGCCAAATGCAGCAAAAAGAGAAAAAAACAAAAAACAAAATTCAAGTTTTCAGGAAACTTGAATTTAAATAACCTCTTCAAAATAAAAGTAAAACTTGAACTCTAAAAGTGAATTTAAAAAAGAAATAACACTTTTGCTTTTATTTTTAAAGCTTTTGATTTTATTTTAAACTTGGGGGCCCCATGGGGCCCCCAACTGCAAACTTGAATTTCGAGCAGCAGCGCAGCAGCAGCTTGAAATTCAAATTGAACAAAAAGAAGGTTTAAAGGACTTATTGCTTCCTGAAGCTGCTTCATAATTAATTTAATGTAATTTAATTTGCATAAAATTAAATTAATTATGGAAACAAAAATGAAAGTGTGGGGCCCCAACTGCAGCAGCAGCTGCGCAGCCGCGCTGCAGCCACGCGCAGCTGCTGCAGCAGCGTCGCATTTGCTGTAGCAGCAGCAGCAAATACGGCTTGCGCCTGCTGCGCTACAGCACTTAGTCTGGAGCCAAAAGCTCGCAAAAAACTATTTAAATAAACTCTAAAGGCGGAGGAAAGCAGCAGTAGCAGCAGCAGCAGCAGCAGCTGCTGCTGCTGTTGCTGCTGCAGCACGCAGCTCGCAGAACTCCAAATGACAAAACCCCATTTAAGGGTTTTCAGCTGCCCCCACAGATGCGTTAAGGCCTCAAGACCTTCTCTTCTTCCTTTCTTTTTGGAGTGGATATTAATATTTATTAAATTCTAAGATAATAATTATTATAATATAGTAATGTAACATAATTGTTATGTTTATTTAAGAACCTGGAATATAATGAAGGGCCTTTGAGCCGCAGCAAAAGGCCTCAATTCGGTGTCTGCAGCTACCAGTTTGCTGCTGCTGCAGGGGGCCCCTCGTTGCCCGGTTTGCTGCTGTTGCTGTAGCAGCTGCTCCGCTAAGTTTACAAACTGATAAGTTTCAAAAATATGTTTCTCAATTAATTCTTTTTATTTCATTTGCAAAAAATCTATTTTGTTTTCTTTTGAGAGGCAGCTGCATGCGTTCTAAAGCGCAGCAGCACTACTCGTCAGCTCTGCAGCAGCAGAAGAGCAGTCGGCTAGTAGCAACAGCAGACTGCATCCATAGAGCAGCAGCAGCAGCAGCAGACTGCATGCACTGAGCCGCTGCAGCAGCAGTAGAGTGGATGCACTGAACAGCAGCAGCAACAGCAGCAACAGTAGAGTGGATGTATGGAGCAGCAGCAGCAACAGTGGATTGTATGCGTGGAGCAACAGCAGCCAGCAGCAGCAGCGAGGAGCAGCAGGAGCGTGAATGCATGAAGCAGCAGCAGCAACAGTTAAGAAGCATAAATAGACGAAATAATAAAAGACTTACACCGAAGACTTCAAGAATTTGGAAAGTTTCTGCACATTTCAAATACAACTGCTGCACGGGAGCCCCCGGCAGCAAGTGACGAGAAAGCAGAGCAGCAGATGGATCTGCTGCGAGCTTTCTGGGGAACGAGGAAAGCTCAGCAAGCTGGAACTCGCGGGAACTTCAGTTTTAAAAAGCCTGGAAGCTGTTTCGCATTAGTTGTGAAAGATTTGAGTTGAAATGACAAGTGCTGAAGCAGCAGCGCGGGCGTGGCACGTGGCACGGGGTTTCTGCAGTGTCTCGACACCCCGCATCCGCTGCGCGACTGCGAGGCAGGCGGTTCCAGAAGAGGCAAAACGCCAACTGAGGATTATTAAATTGTGGAAAAGTACTGAATAAAGAAAAACAGTGCCTTTAACTGGAGAAAGAACCACTGGAGCAGGCGCTGTCTAGCTGCCAAAGCCCCACCCGGCTTCCTTTCCCCTGGGGTCCTCGGCGAACTGAAACGGGCGAAAGGAATAACGGCCATAGTTGCGTTGCTTATAATTCCTGCAGTTTGTTAAAAAGGAATTATAAATAAATAAAAGTAGCGAAGAAACGAAGAAGACGGAGGCGAGAACGGCTTCTGTTCAGTGCTGGCCTTTGGCGCGCCACAGCTCCACAGGCACCAGCCATCGAGAGGCTTTCTGCACGAGTGACATCTTGTTTGAATAAAACAAAACTTGAAGTTTGCGTCTTTATATCATTTTTAACTCGATCAGCTGCTGCACTTCGTTTGTTTTGCTGCGCGGCCGCGTCCCGGCTCGGCCCAGCTGCTGCTGCTGCTGCTGCGCTGCAGCCTCCCACGCCCAGCAGCAGCAGTTTGCTTCCTCTTGCAATTATGGCGCAGTGTGTTCGGGAGCAGCAGCTCGTGAGCTTCGAAAAGAGGGGGGCAAGGCCTCCTGCCTAGGAGGACTTCATTTCCGCTGCTGCTGCTGCTGCCGCTGCTGCTGCTGCTTATATAAAGAGCCAGTGGCTGCTGCTACTGGCCCAGCCCGCCTTCCCCAGGGCTTTCTCCCTCAGAGTCTTTTCCTTAGAAGGCCAATTGGCCTTCTCTGCAGCAGCAGGGGACCTCGCGGGCCCTGCAGCGCTGCGCGCAGGCGCCGCGCTGTTTGCTTCTGCAGGCTGCAGCAGCTGCTGCTGCTGCTGCAGCTGCTGCGCCCGCGCTGCTGCTGCTGCCCGCAGCGGGGGCAGACTGCGGGGGCCCCGCCCGTGGCTGCGCACTTCAGCGGAATGCCAGCAACGGCGGAGTCACGGAGGGGCCCCCGTTGCTGCTGCAGCTGCAGCTGCAGCTGCAGCCGCAGCAGCAGCAGCGGTTTGGCGTGGCTGGCGGCTCTGTTATGTTTGTCTTTGCTGCTGCAGCAGGGCCGATGTGCTGCGTCTGAGGAGAGGGGCCCCCCGGGGGGACCCGCCGGGGGGCCCCCGGGGGGGCCCCCAGGGGAGCCCCCGGGGGGGCCCCCGGAGCCGGAGAGCCCCGGGGGGGGGCCCTTCTTGTTCGCCGCAGCGCCCGGGAAGCTGCCAATGCTGCTGAGCCCGGAAGACGAAATAGAGGGCTTTTTGTCTTCAGATTCTTTCGTGCAAAAAGGAACTGAAAGGAAAAAAGCGCCGGAGGCAGCGGCGAGCGAGCTGCCGCAGTACCGCGTGTTCGAAGCGGGGGTCCCGGCGTGCGGGTGCGTCAGCTATCCGACAGAAAAAGGAGACAAACTGGTTTACGGAGGGTTCTGGATTGCCGAAAATACCAAAAATAAACAAAGAGCAGGTGAGATCGCTGCGAAGGAGCTGCGGGGGCTGCGGATCGCGCAGCTTTCCGCGCGGGTTTCGTGCAAGTTCAAGTTCAAGTTCAACTTGCAAGGGCGCGCGCTGCTGCGGGATCTTTCGGGTTTTTGCGCGATCTTCAGTCCAAGAGCTCATAAAAGGACTTCTGAATTCAACGGGAAATGTTGTGGAGGGCACCTTGACAATTATCACGCAGCCAAACGACTCGCTGGTGATCGACACCCTCAGCAGGGCCGGCCTCTCCCTGGTCGCGTACACCCCAGACAAACATAAAAAAGGCCTCGGCGCTTACAAATGGAAAATTAATCTTCCTTATCGAGGAAGCTACAGAGAGCACCGCGCCGAGCAGATCGAAATGATGGGTGAGCTCCTCTTGCACTTGAATTGCAAGTTCCGTTTTGCAGTGCTGGCTCTCTGTGGAAAAGGCGCTCTGGGGCGAAACTGATGGACCAAGTATTATTATTGAAGTCCCACTATCCTCAGAAATCGATAAAAACTGCATTTGGAACTATTTTCCTTTTGGATATTTTCCCGCGGTGTATCTTCGTGTCGCTGCTGCTGCTGCTTGCGTGCAGTACACCTTTGAGCTCCGTTTGCAGTGGCCGTAGCACACCAATAGAAAGCTTGCACTAAAACGCATTAATTATTGCCATTTAAAATGCAGCTGCAATCATTTGCTGCATTTCTTTCCCGAAGTGACTGCTCGGGTGCTGCAGCGGAGAAGATCCACGTGTTGCGGCCGCATGCGCCGCAAGAGTGGGAGTGGCTGGAGCTGTTTTCGAGTGAGTTAGCTGGCAGTGGTCTTGTGAAGGAGAACACTGTGTCAGTAAACGTTTTGAATTCAGCATTTAGTTGAATTCGGCTGAGTGCTGTGGGCTGCTGCAGCGGCGGAGGCCGAGGCCTTCGACAACGTCTACGTCAAAAACATGAGTGTCCTTAACGAAAGAGAAGAGGCTTTGGCCGCCAACTTCGTCAAAAGGCGTTTGCAAGAAGACCCTTCGCAAGTTCCTTACTTGGTGGACCCGCGGGCGAGAGGCGGCTTGGGCTACATAGGTTGGTTCCTTGGCTGCAGAGTGTTTGCCGTGTGCAAGAAGTTTATTTCCCTTTTATTTTATTTTATCTTATTTTATTATTTTGCTGAAGTTTCAAACTTTTCGAGGGCCTTTATCTCGTCTTTGCTGCGCTCCGTGGGGCGTTCACAGCGGCGCCCATTGGAACTCGTGCGCAATTCGTTTTGCTGCTGCTGTTTCGGCTTTTGCTGCTGCTGCTGCTGCTGCTGCTGCTGCTCTTGGGCTTTGCTGCAGCAAGAAATGTACGCGGAGATGTTTTTGGGGTCCTTAGGGCCCACGTTAATAGAGAAAATGTCTGCATAATTGATTTCTTAGATGCCAGTGGGATTGCTGAGGAGGCGCGAAGTGAGTTTCCACAGAGTTTAGATCTTTCCTGAAAGCTGACTTGAAACTAAATAATTAGTGTTTAATAGCACCAAAAAATGGTATTTTATGTCAATTTATTAATATTAATTGGCATTAAATAGTATTATTTAACATTCATTCATGTTAAATAGCTGCTGCCAATCCACAAAACACCTCCTGGGGGCCCCCATGAGACTGCCACGTTGCCGGTGGGGCCCCCTGCGTGGGCAGGAGGGTTTAGGGTTTAGGGTTTAGGGTTTACGTTTCGGCGCCGCAAAGTGTGAACACCTTTGTTATTTGCGTTTAATTTCGCTGCTGGTTGCTGCAGAGGCGCAGCTACTGCTGGAGCTTTTGAAGAGCCTGGAGTTCCGGAAGGTGGACAGAGTGGTGCTGCCCGCAGTGCCCATTGCAGATGTGGGCACAGTTTCTCTGGCTTCGGAGTTGGGCTTTTCAATAAAAGCGAATTCTGCAGATTCTCTTTTGATGGTTCGCGACGGAGACTTGCCGCTTCCGCAGGACGAGGTGGTCGTCGTCATCCGCAAGCTCCGTGAGGACTTGTGTTTTTTTTCAAGTTTTCCCCGCAGATCTTTTGGGCTGCTGCTGCAGTCATGTTTTCAATCTAGTTTGCATGCAAGTTGTAGTGCAGAAGGCTGCAGGGGTAAACTCGGGGGGAGCATTTCAAGCAGCTTTTTATTCTGTTCAGCTCAGAGTGTTCTTTCCAGATTCTTGGGGATGCCGGCGCTTGGGTTGTTGCTTATGTCTTGATCTTTTTAGAAAAGGATGTTTTCTTTTGTCTTGGTAGATTTAGACCTTTGAGTTGGCGCATTTGGCTTGTGCAAATATACGCATGCGTTCCATGTTCACGTATACTTGAATGCATACATGGAAGGAGGGCCAGGGGCGTGGAATACGCATTTATCTGTGTGCATTTGAGGCTCTAAGCATTTATAAAGAGAGAAATATGAGCAGATTAGATGAAATATTCCAATGAAATGTTCAGTGCGCGGAAGATCTCAACACTTAGTGCGGGATAGCCTCATTGGAAGGGCTTTTTGCGCGTTTTCAGGCGCCAAGTACACGGCAGTGAAGGCGTACCGGACTCGCCCTGGAATCCGCATTAGACGGGAAGTTCTGGACGTGTTGGACGAGTTTCGTCACTTGAGTTTCCACAAGCAGGAACTGATCGAAAGGAAGACCCGAGCCTTGTTTGCACACGCGGGCGCAGTGCTGCTGCTGCTCAGCCTGGGCGCCCTGGCCCGCAAAATCCACAACTACAGAAAGAACAAAGAATACTTGAGGCGTTTCCGCAGCGCCAGGCTTGTAGATGACTTGTCGCCGCAGAGGGAAGAAGTGGCGGTGGAGGCGCGGCCAGCGCTGGGCGGCTCCCGCGCGTTTCAGTGAACAATTCTTAGTTGCTTTGCTGCGGAAAAGCCCTAGTTTGTGTTTAATACTATTTTAAGTCAGTGCAGTCGCGGATTTGGACTGCGCACGCCCGAAAGCTGCGCATTTTTTGTAGGGCTACGGCCTGGCAGTCAGCCAGCCTTGGGACCCCCACACGAGAAGGAGGCTTTGCTGCTGTTCACCGAGCTTTTATTCAAGAGTTCATCTTTACCAAACTCATCGGCCTGTGCCTTTTGAAGTACATATGCAGGGAAACGGTGCTTCCGATCAGCAGAGGCCCGAGCGGCTGCTGCTGCTGCTGCTGCTGCCAGATCTGCAGCAAATGCCGCTCGCGGGAAGCTGCTGCGTGGCCATTTTTCCTGTCGGGGTCCCATTGGCATGCAGCTTCCAGCGGGGACTCTCTGAGTCTATCCAGTGTTCTTATTTTGCTGTTCAGTTCTATGAAAAATGACTACGTTCGCGAGATACACTGCCTTCTTCTGGACCCTGCTGCCTAAGGCTTCAAAGCTGAGATCTGCCCGTTTCAAGCCCCTCCGAAGCAGCAAATGAGACACAAAAAGATGCAAAAGGCGGTTTTGAGTTAGCGGCACAAATAAATGAAATGCAGCTGAGATGCAGTTCACCACAAATGCGGCGGAGACCGCGTCCGCGGTGGCGGCAGCAAGTGCCTTGCGGGGAAAGCTCAGTACCTGAAGCACAAAAAAGCTTTCCAAAACGCTATTTCTTCAGGAAATATGAATTAAAATGCACTTAACTCAATTCTTAATGAAAAAACTAGGAGCACGGAGCAAATAGTTGCAAGCATATGCCCCTTGCTGCACACTGACATGGACTTCAATTCGCCCACGCGCCAGTCAAAGTTGCTGGAGCCCCCGCTGCTCACCAGTACTTGTCTCGCACCTCCGCTTCCGCGTCATGAAACATCTTTTTAATAATTCCGTAAGTCACAATGCCAGGCCAAATCCACCACCAGTAGTAGGCGCTGAACTTCGCCCACGCCCTGCGAGCAAGCAGCAGCAGAAACGGAAACAAGACGAGAAATCTGGCAGCAATTGCATGCACGAAGAAACGCCCTTTGCAGCCCGCCGCTGTATTCAAGGACTTCACACTGAAACTGTTTTCAAGTGCCACATTTGCAAGTTTCTGAACTCCTGGTGTCGTGGTTTCTTCTCTGCATGAAAGTGGCAGAAAGAGCGGCTTTTGCGGTGTCCGTGAGCTGCTTCTTGCATGTCCTCGCCACTCAAGATGTGCAGAAGGTGAATTTGGGTCACCTTGCGGGAAAGGTGTGCCAGAAAGGCCACAAAATCTTGAGCTGAAAGGGGGAAATGGTCTGCTGAATGAAGCCTCCGTAGGCCTTCATGCGGTTCTTCCACAGCAGCTCCTGCTCAGGAGGCACCGGGTAGCTCCCCAGAGTGACTTGTTCAAATTTTGGCGATCCTCGAGATTGCAGAACGGCGCCGGGCGTCAGGGCCCGCCGCAGCAGCGTCGGGTGAACACGCATTCTGCTCTTTTCTCCGCGAGTTTGGCTGGAAAAAAGTACTGAAGAAGTCTAAAATGAATAAAAAAGGAATTTTAGAAGATAATCTGAAAGTCGGACACTTTTTGCTGCTTAGAAAAGCATGCAACCCATCTTTCCCGGGGCTGGCGATCATCAGCAGCAGATCTTGCTGCGAGCTGTATTCCCTTTTCCGTTCCTTCTACAAATGCTTTCTGTAGAAACCATAAATCATAAATCATATTTTGGACTTAAATTAGACTTTGGACAAGGACTTAGACTGGTGTGTGCCACTTTCTGTTGAGTTTCACTTCCTTCACTCTCTGCAGTGAGACGAACTTCGTAGAAATGATTTCACCCCTAAAGCCTTACCCCTCCTAAACCCCTGAGTGCTGCCTTTGGCTTCCAAAGCCTTTACCCCAAGCAGCAGCACAGGAGGCAGCACAAGCAGCAGCAGCAACCATTCTCGTTTCGCTGCAGCAGCAGCACAGCTTGTGATTGCCTGCTGCAGCAGCAGCAGATACTGGGGCTGCAGCAGGCAGCAGCAGCGGCTGCGCCAGGCGGGCCCCAGAGCGAGAGCTTGGCCAAAGGTGCTGCACTCTAATAGTTAAAACTATTTTAATTAAAGAAACTGAAGCAGCAAAACGTTGCAAAAGGCAGCACTGGCAGCAGCTAGAAACTTAACTCCCCACAAAAGACAGCCTAGCCCAGAGCCAAAAGGTGACAGGCTTAAAACGACGCATCCTGGCTCAGCCCAGGGGCTCCCAGGCACTAGGGGGCCCCCAGGCACTGGGGGCCCCCCAGGTACTAGGGGGCCCCCAGGCCCTTTGGGGGGCCCCCCGGGCACTTGCGGGCCCCCAGGCACTGGGGGGCCCCCAGGTACTTGGGGGACCCCAGGCACTAGGGGGCCCCCCAGGTACTAGGGGGCCCCTCAGAGTTCTGTTTCTTTGGGCGTAGGCTTTGGGGCCCTCAGGGCATCTTTTAGCTTTCTTTGCCAGCCTCCCTCACCTTCAAAAGAAATAAAAAGAAAAATAAAAAGAATGAAAATAAAAAGAATAAAATAAAATAATAAATAAAATGAAATGTTGAAAAAAGAAATGTTGAGAAAGAAATGTTGAAAAAGAACAAAAGATAAAAAGCAACTGAGCAGCAAACCCAGCAGCTGGGCTGGCGCAGCACTGGCGGCAGCTGACGCCAGGAACAGCAGCTGCGGCGTCTGCTGCAGCAGCTGCTACTGCAGCAGCAGCAGCAGCAGCAGCAGCAGCAGAAGCTGCTGCTGCTG